ACCTGATCCCACCTCTGATGTTTTGGGGGTCCGTGTTTGCTCTGCTCCTATTTTGTTTTGTTTTATAGACTTTTTAGCTTGAATACTGTTTCGTTATCTATATGTTTCATACACAGAAAAAACAATACCTACTTCTCTGCGAAAAGAAAATAATTTATCTGAACGTCATTGCTGGTTTGCTGAATATTGCTTAAATGTTTTTTTCACAGATCATTGTCAAAGGTTGAGAACCCAATAACCTTTTGTAGAAGAGTTGAACCCTTTTTTTCTCTTTAACATTAAAAACAATCGCCATTTCATCGACTGGTTCGACATGTTTAACCGTAATTGCGAACTTGAATGGGTCGATATGTTTTACTGTTTAATGCAAACTTCAGTTCAAATCTGGCGACACGTTCCTCGAATTTTTAATTTTTACCAAGAATTTGTCTTTAAATTATTGCTACTTAATGTTTCCTCACAAAAAATTGATAATTTTTTCGCAATATTCTGGACGGTGATATTTCTTATATAATCGTAAGACGTTATCTTTTTATGTCTAATCAGTTTTTGGCAGTTATTTTTTTTTCAAACTTTTTATTACCAATTTATAAATCACAGAATATCGTTAAATAACAATAATGTATTATATTTTATATCATATGAATGTATAAAAACATAGAATTGAGGAACGTGTCTTCTGACCAAATTTTGTTGTGTTTTGTCTCTTAAGGACAGATGTTACCAACATTTTTTTTTTCTTTGGAGGAAGCTTAATATCATCTCACAGGCTAGAACAATGTATTTATCTCGTTGAATTTTTTCTCCTTAGTCTTGGAAAGTGAAACAGATTTGGAAAATTTTAGTTAATACGTCAAAAAAATAATAAATATGAAGAAATCATACTCAGTAATGGCTTACAGATGAAAACAAATTTCAGAATGTGTTAGCTTAGTACGAAAAGTGTGACACAAAATTTAGAAAAATATACCAAGCCAGGTAAATTTTATGAGGAACCACAAAATGGTGAAAAATGAGAAATCACAAAGGTTGATTTTTACCAATTTGCTTTTCCTCATAAAATTCACATGGCGTGGTATATTTTTCTAAAGTTTATACAGTATTACATATTTTTCACTAAGCTAACATTTTCTGAAATTTGTTTTATCTGTAAACCTTTACTGAGTATGATTATGATTTGTTTATATTTGTTATTTTATTGAAGTATTAACTACTACTTTCCAAATCTTTTTAATTTTCCAAGACTAAGGAGAAAAGATTCAAAGAGTCGTTCATTTTTCTAACTCATAAATATTGAGAGGCCAACACTAACTCGTGAAAGAGTGCAAATTAAGACCAATGCTTAGCACCCAAAGCCAATGCCAACCAAGCAGTAAAATTCCTTTTTGTGACGGCACTATCTGCGAAATGAGACCTTACTTTATACATTACCATCAAAAAGACTGGTCTCCACGTCCCGCAGTTGAATTAGAACCTGCAATGAAAGGATCAAGTCTTTGCATAGCGACTCTAGAACAAACGTTCTAACCCCTGCACCACTGTTACTTTCTTTTTTCTCTTTGAACCTTAGAACCAATGTAAGTTGCTCTTTGTTTTCCTAAAATATTAAACATTACTGAACCTTATGGGGTTGGGGGGGGGATGGAAGGGAGTACATATCAAAGACAGAGATAATGAATGTCGTAAAACAGTCTAACACTTTCAAGGAAACTCTGAATACTTCACAAATAAAGAGTTCTATTTGAAGGGTAGTTTTATGCAGTTAAAATGATCGGCACTTAGAAGTAAAGTACAAAAAATAGTTATTTACTGTTAATTACACAATTTATGATAGATTATAATATTTTTAGCTTCATATGAGACCAGGAATAAGTAAATCTTATTTTCCCTATTTAAGTAAACAACGGCAATTTCTAATTAGGAATAGTCCATTGTCTTTGAACATTTTTCCTGTAGAAATAAGGGAGGTACCATATGCTGAAAATTGACTAAATAGTCACAGTATGCACACCTTGATGTGAGATACAGTGTATTTTTCTCCACGTCCAAAAAACACCTTTTGTTAGTACATAGAGCCTCCTTAAAAATGATGATAATATTCCTTATTCTTGATGGTTAGTATGAAGAAAATACATCTTTTTATGTAAGAGTTAGTTTCATACGGAGTGACCTTTTCCATTTTTATTTCTCTGTGCAGTTAAGTTACGGGTTTCTTATCACCCGATTTCATAATAAAACAATAAACCAGGAACTGTGTTTGCTTATATATTAGAAGTTATATAATCAAACTTGTTGAACACTGAAAGAGAATTTATTTTAAACGTGGAAGATTCACGTTACAATTTTTTAGGAATGAATTCAATATCTTCCAAACTTATACCGCATAACCAGAGTTGGGACATTTTAAGCTTTATAAAAAGTTAGTAAAAAGGTATAAATTGGATAGTTATTAGAATCAATCCTTACAATTTTATTTTCATCGGTAGAGTACAAATAAAACAATTTTTTTTTCAAAAATCAACTAAAATTTATAATTCTTACATAATTATAACTTACTTATCAATCGTAGCAGACCTTACGTAATTATCGATTACAATATTAGTAAATTAACAGGTCTGAACCAGATTTTTTTGTTTTTTTCACTTGACACTACACGTGAAAATATTTTTTGTGTGTTTAATAAAAGTCAGTCATGATAATTGACCTTTCAAAAATAAATTTGTTCAATTTGATTCCATTGCGTATATACTCACGTTACCCGCCTCGTGTAAAAAAGCACGTGGTTTTTATCTATTTTTTATTATTATTATTATTATCTTATTTTTTCTTTAAACTGTTTGAAGACTAAATTTGGGTCAAAATATATGCGAGAACTCTCGGTCATCTAGTGCAATTTTCTTAAATCTTGTAGTGGCGAATTTTTTTTAATATGATCATTGAGAATGCAAATGTATATTTATGTTATACCGTTATTAGTCCCCGACCATTCATAGCTATTTTTATGGACCACTGGCTTTTCAATGAGGCAATACGTGGGGTTAGATAATACAAGTTAGTGCAATTTTCAGTTATCCTTGGACTTTTAGTAAGGCGTGGCATTCTCGACCCTACGAAACAAGCGTCTCTCAATGGTGACCTAAACTCTCATTGGTTGCTACCTCATCAATATTCATAACAACATAAACAAGTAGAATGGTGTCAGTTCGAGTTTTTTTTAATGTTTTACACATATTAAAATCCAGAGTAGTAAGTGTAAACTTGAATGGTCAACAGATACTTTCCAATAAATTATGTAGGTTATATAGAACTCAGGCCCGTAGAAAAGCTTTTCAAAATAAATGGGGTAAAAATGATCTCAGGAATGAGAGAAAGGGATACTACATACATGTAAACGCCCCAAGTCCAGCTACTTGATTTAACATCTATTACGAAGGAATCTATAGCTAGCAACACTTTATTAAATACCTTCGAAATTAACATTTTAATATATCTACAGTAAAAATATTATGAAGTTGAATTTTCGACCACCGTCGTGTAAATGTGATGATTATCAATAAACAGTTTCCTATGCATACTGCATACACATACCCCCTAGCCCCATTTTACACTATTAAGTATTTAACTAAAAGGCCGGGTTGTGGTCTCTTCGTCATTTTCCAAAATTGATATGTAATTCGGTCGAATCAACAAAATGGAATTTACACAACCCTTCATTCACTGTTGAAATATACATGGGACAGAAATTTGGGCAGATGTAAACGAGTGTAGCAAAAATTCAATGCGTTTTGTACGGCAAAGAGGTAAGGCTGAAGTCACCACATTGTTGTCAAAAACAATTTAAAGGTGCTGATGTTATTAATTTTAAACCAGTGAGAATCTAAGTCACCATTTGAGAGACGCTAATTATGTAGCTACAAGAAAACCACACTTTAATGAAAGTCCAAGGATTAAAAAGAGAATTGTACTACATAATACAGCCTCTGAAATATTCCATACTCATAAACCCGAGTCAAGGAATCCCTGTTTGCATGAATCAAATAAATACTTACCATTTTATCAAAATGTGAAGATGTGTTTATTTGATTATGTATTGCTTATATATTGGAAACCATAACATAATTGTTGTGAATTATCCTATTTATTCATGGACATCTGCATGGCAATTTGTTTACTTCATTCTATTAACAACTTTCCACACTAAGCATCCAACATTGTTTATATATATAATCAACAAAGAAATTAAAAATTAAAAATTCATAATCGCTGCTGGCCAATGATTTGAGAAAAATGGATTGGGCTTACATGTACTTGATCATATATTGAAAGTAGATTTTAGACCTAAAAATTGTGAGGGTAAGTGTCGGTTTACGTGTAAATTTTAATGGAAACTTCACTTTTTTTCATTTGCGTTTTCTTTCTTTATGCCAATAAAAAGCTATTTGTTTGTAAACTTATTATGAGCAATTAGCTTTTAAAAATTTCAAAATCGATGCCTCCTGCATAAATCATGAATCAGGAGCTTAACTGTAGTTACGTTAGTCATAAACTTAAATTTAACACCTTTACTTGAGTTTCTTGGATTCTCGCTGCGCACTGCATGGTAAGGTTATTTATTCTCAAGCTCTCGCAAAATTGCCAGTTTTCGTCACATAAGCCCAGGCCAGTTGATCCCAAGATGACTGTCAAGGCTCTTTGAGCACCTGTTAGAAATGACACGACTTAGAAATTGGATAACCTCTAAATATCTCTCATGTTCTTCACTTGTACTTCTAAGTAAGAAGCATTTTATAGGCGGAGCAAAAGAAGGATTCTTTAGATCAATAAATACTTCACATCGTGAATCAAAAGGTCATTTATATATAAGCTGCTGTGCGAGTGTTAAATGACCATATGTGTGAGTGAATAAAAGTTATTCAGATTTTATCCGCAATTGATTGAATTTAAAAAAAAAACAATCAATTTAATCATACAAGTGATATAGCTTAAAAATTTTCATCAAAATGAATAGCACTAATTACTCTTCAATGTTCAGCGGATATAACAAGCTACCAGATGCTGCCCATTATGTTTTTGGAGTACTCTTCACTTTTTTAAATGTGGCAGCCACTTCTGGAAATTTACTTGTGCTCTTTGTTTTTATGATGAGTTCAAAGCTTCGAAGTGGACACTGCTTTTTGGTTTCTGCCCTTTGTTTTAGCGATTTGCTGATGAGCTCAATTGGTCTAACGATGCTGACCATTGCCAGTTTTTCCACATATTGGGTCCTAGGAAAAATGGCCTGTACTTTGTATGGAACTTTGATGACTTTTCTGGGCCTTTCACAGATCACGTTGTTAGCAGTCATCGCCTACACAAGATATCTTGTAGTCGTGCATAGCAGGAAAATCGGAACTATCTCCGCTAAAATTATTGCATTGGCTTGCTTTGCGTATTCCTTGTGCTTTGCACTTGCTCCCTTATTTGGGTGGAGTAGTTTTGAACTGGAACCTATAGGGACGTCATGCGGACCAAATTGGGTCGGCATTGCTCTTGATGATATAAGCTTCAACCTGACCCTGTTTTTCCTTTGTTTTCTAGTGCCTTTATCCGTTATACTATTTTCATACACAATGGTTTACAAAAAGGTAAGTTTCATTTTTCAGATTTCATAAATATAAATAAACATTGTCATTTTTAGCTTACATCAGTCTACGACACGAAAGTCTTTTTGATGTTTTATTGCACGACTTATTTCTGCCTTATTCCATTACAATTAGAAAATATATCCAAGACTACCAATGGACACCGTTACTTACATAAGCACTAAACAAGTAATATGTTACTAGAATTTAACAAGTTGTTAAAATATGAAAATAATGTAATCAATAAGGTATGATGAAATCATGTTTAATGTTATTTAAATTATTTTTACTTTTATTTGTCATGTTTGAGTAAAAACAACAGCTGAATAATGTGTTGGGATTTTTCTCTCATATCTTTTGTTGCATTCATAATTACATATCTAATGCAATTTTGCAACACCCCATAGACTTTCTATGAACTAAAAGCTCCCAATGAACTTGATTTCTTTATGTTTATATGTCATCTTTATAAAGATGATAAAGTTGTTGTCTGGCTGTTGCTCAATATGAATGGCACACATTTGCAGAGACAATTAATTGTCCACCTTTAATAGAATGAATCTTTTTTTTTTCTCTCTCTCTTAAAAAAAGATTTGTCAAATGGCAGAGGAATACTTTTTAATGTGTGAATTAAAATGAATCGAAAACAATTTCTTAACTCGTTATAAAAGGGTAAAAAAAAAAAGAAGCTTTCTGAAGTTACTGAAAAAATATGCTGAAAGTGTTATTTATTCACTGGTATGCAGAAATGTTCCTAAAAAATCTGCGTCTATTAGATTACCCGTTGAAAGTTGATTGTTTAATTAAGGAAGCTCTAAACACTAACAGAAACTGTTTTTTGGACTCAGAGAAGAATATATCATATAAAGATTTGCATATTGAGACTTTTCATTCATTTAGAACACAGGGACGTGTCTTATTTGTGCAGGAAAAATGTTTAAAAACAATGGACTAGAAATCACTGTTGTTTATCAACATTGGGAAAATTAATGAAAATAATTAATTAAATTTCTTACTCTTGGTCTTATATAATGCTAAACGTATTTTAATCTATTATAAATTATGTAATTAATGGTAAAAAGCAATTTCTTTAATCTTACATCTAAGGGCAGATCACTCTAACTGCATAAAAATACCCAATAAATAGAGCTTTTTGGTGTGCGGTGTTTAGAGCGTCCTTAAGTTCGATTATAAAACTGTGATTGTTACGTGCATTCATGTTTGAAATGTTGTCGCTCATCAGCATTTGTGTCTGATTATTTTCAATATTCATTCTCGTAAGACTTCAAAGCCAGTTTATCCTATTTTGGCACATAATTATCGATTTTAACTTCCGCCCTGTGCGTTGTCACTGTAAAGAGATGTAACAAAAAGCCCTGCTGAGTGCATTATCGCAATAATTACACGTCAAATTAGTCCTATCGTCCAAAGAAAATGTTTTAAATTAATAGCAGGGACGTGATTTGGAGAATAGTTTTATGGTTTCCATTGCAATTACGATAGCATTTAGTTTTTATGTTGCATAAAGTCAAAAAATGATAGAAGTCGTGAAAAGGATCGGAACAAGTACGAGAGTTCTTTCTGTGTAATGTTCTCTCTGTCATATTTCATTTTATCAAATAAAATCTGCAACATGTTATATTTTATAAAAATTACTTTGATTTCTTATATTCTTTTTAACTAACATACTTTCTTATTTGAAGCAAATATAGATTATTAATTGATTTTTAACGTGTTTAGTAATATTGTGGAATGTGCACGATTCCAAAGTGGCTTAATACTAATGTCTTGTGGAATTCATGGGTACCCTTTATCCATGAATTTATATCCTCGATAAATTATCATTCAAGGGTTTCAAAAGGATGTTTCCTTTTGTGGATACGAGTGAATACACTAAATAAAGTGCAACCGAAACCTGTACAATTTCAGAATTCCTTGAAAATTGGTCCCTTTTGAGGATTTTGAGGATTTCACAGTATGTCTTACTTGCTTTGTCATCTTCACTTTCCTGATACGTAATCAGTATTTAATCAATTTCATTCAAAGAAAAGGTTAATCACACTATAGCCTCTTTTTAAGAAAAAAAAAATAAGAACTACCATTTTATTTTTTTCATTCTTTGCTTCTATTATATTTATTTATTTATTCATTTATTTATTTATTTATTTATTTATCAATTGATTGATTGATTGATTGATTGAATGACTGATTGATTGATTGATTGATTTGTGATAAACGCCGAGGTGGCAATATTGCCATATTTCGGCGGCTTTTATATTTGTATTCAAATGATGTCTAAATGAATGGAACGTATTCAGACGTGTTTATGTCGCACGAATCAGGTACAATGTAAAGGATAAACTGCTGTGGTGATAATTTTTAATTCTGAGGATTCTGTGTTTTCTTTGATAACATTATTCTTTTATTTGAATATCTGAAAGAGTCTGTTAAATTAAACTATATTAACTTCAAAGCAAGTGGGACTGTGTGATCATGTCTTTTCTAAGACATATGACACCGTTAATATGTTTGGTTTCGTTAAGTATGAAAAATTTATTGATTTTTCCAAGCGAGAAAAACCCGAATGAATTGATATAGAAAATAAAGAAAGACCCAATGATTGTTATAATGTAAGATGAACTGGAATTGAAGACTACTTTTTAAGACTACTGTTTTAATGAGCGATTCCTCATACCTTTTCCTGACCTTGTCAGCAAATACAATTTATCATTAAGTCAAATGCTGACTGACGTTTTTCATATTAATTGTTAGTCCATTATTTACATACTGAATTGACGCCGAATTTTTGCGATATTTCCCGATCATGACAAGAGCACGTGTCAGATGCGGCCGGTCAGCATGGGATGCTCACTCCTCCATGGCATCTGATCCCACCTCTGATGTTTCGGAGGTCGTATTTGCTCTGCTCCTGTTTTGTATTGTTTTATGGACTTTGACATTGAATACTGTTCGTTATCTCCATATCCTCCCTTAAATTATCTAGAAATAATAACTATTGCCGATCATGTGCTGCTGACATATTTTTTCAATTTCATTCAAACCATAAAATCTAAATATAATACACCATTTAACTCATAATTACACTTTAAATATTTTATTTAGCCATAAGGTAAACAAAATTCTTGCTTAAAATCACGTAGACCTTGAAGTAATATTTGATTGTCACAATACACAACATAAAATGTACTAATAATCAAACTTGACAGAAACCATACGTGAAGCTCATATTATTTGTTTCTGTATGTACCTACATCATCCGAAAAATACTTATATTCGTACGAGTATACATAATTCATAGTAACTAAGGAAAATATTGTAAAAAAAAAAAATAAAAGGTTATGTTTGCCTTTCTGATTATCCAATACTATCACTAATTATTTGAAGTTTAATGTCACTAATTGTTTGAAGTTTAATGTCACTAATTATTTGAAGTTTAATTTCCGTGTATAAATGGAATGTTTTCTCGAAAGTCTTTTTACATGGGACATATATCCAATATCTGTTCAGAAATGCGACTTAAAATACTGCGGGAGACAACATTTTTTCTATGGGACTTTTTAATTATCCTATAGGATTTTGTCGGATATCGGGTAGGATAAGAAATCCCATAAAGATCCCACAGGATTTTTATTTTTAAGTTATATCCCCTACAACTGTGACATACAAGTTTCAGGTATAATTTTGTTAAACAATATGAGAGTACAAAATCACACGATATGATAATTAAAAAACGTTATATAATATGTAGAAAAAAATGGCGGGTGAAAATCCGGACAAATGTCGTGACCGGAGTTCAATGTCGCACTGATCAATAAAAATTGTACTTTATCCCCCTGTGTCTTCATTTACGTTACTCTGTATAAAACTTGATACTTACATAAAGAGTCAATTTTCACAAAAAATAAGTTAACATTTTGTATTGTTTCATATAGATCAAGAAAAGGAAAATCCGGAAAAAGTCAGAAGGATACGAAATTCACGTGACAACCACCATCTTAATTATGATAGGTAAGTGTGATATGATTGATTGGTTTATTGATTGATTGTTGTTTAATGTTCTGTTCGAGAAATTTTCACACACATACAGACTTCACCATATACCCGTGAATGACTTCAAATGAAAGCAATACTGCAGAAGCTACGGTGGGGGATTCATTTCCATTGATTTTAGAATTTTAATGATTTTATCCATTTTTTTCTTGAAAAATCAATGCTATACTAGTTTTTTTAGGTTATAAAATTAAATTGGGATTTAATTTCATATTGAATTAATATTAAATTTACCCCATGACATTTTCTTCTTTTAAAGTGTTAAACAATATATATTTTCAGTGGCATTTCTTGGTTCCTGGACTCCGTACGCATGCATGGCATTATACATCGTCATAACCAAAAATAACCGGATAAATCTGGTTGTTTCTTCCATTCCTTTGCTTCTTGCCAAATGCTCCCCTGTCTGGAATCCTTACATATATTTCATGAGGAATCACAAATTTAATCAAGAGTGCCGGAAGTTATTACCTTTCTTAAGACACCTTGGACTTTGGCGAGTGAATCCGCGTGAACAAAGCGTTGTCACTCAGCAACAAGTGACCAGTTCTCTACAAAGTTCTACTTATGTCTGACGGCGGTGGGGAAAAAAGAATACAGAGGCAACGACATTGCAATGGTGCTTGTATTATAGTTTTAAAAAATTATTGTGCTGTGTCATTCAAAACATTTCATGGTTTGTTTTTCGTACAAAAAGGAAAAACAAAATGTGTCTTTAAATACAAGTCACTCTATGCTATTACGTTTTCAAATTATACTGAGCAAAATAAGTTTAGCAATTTAAGATATTTATCATAAAACAAAGTAGAACAAAATAGACACAGCGCTTACAGTTAAATTGTGATGTGAGCTTGTCATCACATAACAAAATAAGGCAAAATTTGTGCTGTTTTGTAAGAAATGTCGTGAAACTGATCACAGATACGGGTTTGAAAAGTCAGATTCAGTTTCAATATTGTGTAAGGCCTCCAATTGCAGCAATAATAACATCACCACTGCGTCTCATGTTCCTTTGTATCTCAAGCGTGGTGATCTGGTTCCACTCCTGCTGCAGGACAAGGGTCAGTTCTGCTACGTTGTTGACGTTATGTCGCTGCCTTAAACGTCGACCAAGAATGTCTCAAACGTGTTCAATGGGTGACAAATCTGGCGATCTCGCGGGCCAATCAAAGATCTCAACACCATTCTGATGAAGGTCAGTTTTTGTGTCGTGCGGGCATTGCCCATGCGAGGCGGCACTGTCGATGACGTTGAGTTAGTGGTACTGCTGTGAGACGTTTTCAAGCTCGAAGATTTGCAAACCTAGCTGTGTTTTTTTTTTACACTTTGTTCACATAACCTCAGTTCAGTTACACGGCGTAATTCGTCTGCAACTTTAAGAGCAGCCATAATACGGTTACGTCTCGACCTTGTAACAGTAAAACGATCTTGCCTAACCGTCGTTTTCCATGGTCGTTCTTAGCGTCGACAATTACTAACATGTCAAGTGGTCCGTGGTCGGTTTAAAAGTCAACATATGGTGAACGGATGCACAAGAAAGTCTTCAGCGACATTTCTTTGTGAGCAACCGGCGTTAGCATCTCTATAGTAGTTCGACATTCATTTTTGAAAAGTCCTGGGCGTTTCTCAATTTGACGCTTTTGCAATCTTTCACCGGTTTTCTTTTACAAGCGTGCTCGAAAGGCTTTTCAAGTAAAAAATTCTTCCAGGACCATGTCCGTTCGAGCGTATTCTTTTTGTATTGTTGAATTGTCATAACGTTGGACGACGCAGTTTCTGCGCATCAAGTTGAAAAAAATGAAGAGTGTCTTTTGTTACCCTTTTCTATATTGATTTTATGCAGAGACGAAATAAAATAATTTCCAAAAATATTTTTAAAATTAGAAAAACAATTGGCTTGCTAAACTTATTTTGCTCAGTATATATAATTTTTTTATATGAAATGTTCATTGAAAGATTAAGCTTTAACCTTAAATTACAGAATGTCGATCCAGACTTTAAAGGGTAAAATGTAATAGATAGAAGGAAATGTTCAGACTATAGGATTAAAGCACTTTCTGTTCTCTGAAATCTATAATTCATTATTATTGATCATATGTCTCTTATTGCTCGGTGTGAATTCACAATCACCGGCAAGTGCTGACAATAATGGCTTTATCTGTTCATTCATGTTATACAAGGCCTCATAGATAAATCAATTTCATTCACACCTAGTGTAGCCATCTTAACATTGATAAAAACGTGTTTTACGCATAGTTTCATGTGCCAAAGTTATAACTCTTTTATTCCTGTGCTTTTGAGTTATGAATTTTTCATTTCAATGCAAAAGAGAGACATTCATGTTGATAATGGTTCAATTTCCTTATTGATATTAGTCCTTACAGTTCACTGGCCTCTAAAAAAAGATAACTCAATTGTCACAAGATAAACGATTGTATATATCATTTACAAAATTAATATCTAAAGCTAGGCAACTATTCCCGGCAATGAATGGTGGAATTGTATGCATTTCATCAAAAGTATGATTTCTAATCATTAATTGTCATAAATTTTTACAAAAAGTTAATAAAAGGTTGATGGACCCTAAATTTGTTTGACGGGTTTTTATACGACTATTGAAGATACATGTATCTTGTAAGGAAAGGGGGACAATCTGTCTAGCTCTTTCTCCGACTGTAGTTAATAATTTCATATTTTTCAAATACAGTACACCGGTAAGTCAAACCTATGTAAAGCAGAGAGAGAGAGAGAGATGCGAGCGGGAGATTAAGAGATTGAGAGGTGGTGGTGGTGATGAAGAGCATTATCAAGAAGATAAAGTGCATGAAAATCTACATCTTCAAAATATTTGACTTTTCGTTTGTCCTTTCAAGTTATCTGTGTTGCGAAAAAGAACTATTTTGTAACGCTATCTAATAACGTGTTGTTATCTTTGTATTATATATGTTGATGCTTTAAAAGCCGTATTTACACAAATTGTTGTTGTTGTTTTTTTTAATAAGTTTAGATTGACTACTAATAAGGTTGTCAAATAACTCTAAAAACTTACCAACACAAAAACCTTAGAAATGGTATAAATAACATCAGTCAAGACGCAATCCAGTGATTGATTGTTTATTGTTTAACGTCTCTCTCCAGAATTTTTCACTCATACGCCCAATTCAATGATTGATCGTATTTGCTAACAAGGTCATGATAAACATAATAGATTTTATAAAATGCCGATTTTGAACGAGGCTATTGAGTTCCCTGTAACATAATTTTATTTGTCAGTGGCCTATCTGGGCATGCTCTTGAGTAACGAATACGTTAGGGACGCAAACATTATAGACAGGTGATAGAGCGGAATATTACCATATATTCAGTAAACAAGGAAGGTTGACAATGGAAAATCTGACCTCATCTCGTCTATTCGGTATAGTCGTTATAGTGGGCCCTTCTTTAGTCAGTACAACAGCCAATATTATGGAAGACTCTGTGGTATCTTATATTTTGATTCAACAGTGATACATCGAGGTAGCAAGAGAAGGGAAGCGAATATTTTGGATTGCAGGATAAAACAATGTTGTTATATCTGAATGCCAAGTTGAGTGCCAAAGCAATTTTTAATCTTCTTCTCAATTTTGAATAAATTCTGTCATAGAAAATAAATACCGTACGTTGATCTATAGAGAAAAAATTTGGGATGTTAAACATCATACAATCATAATCATATCAATTTGAAAGTACTGTATTGTAGATTCAGAGTGAGTTTAAACACAAATAATGAACCTTTTAAAGTTTCATTTCTCGAATATGTTGTTGTACATTACTCCTGATCCCACCTCTGATGTTTTGGAAGTCCGTGTTTTCTCTGCTTATATTTTGTATTGTTTTATGGACTTTTGATCTTGACTACTATTCGTTATCTCCATATATTTCACTTCTTGTCTCTTACACTAAAACGTTAAGTTTAATTCAATTCAAGAAATATTGTAGAAACGTCACTGACATGCATTTTTATTTTGCTCTTGTGACAAATTCATTATTTGTATTACTATTACCTTGGAGCTTTTCAGAATACACATCTGATTTTAGCCTGATTTGAACTATCCATTTAATGCCATATAAGAACAGAAAGGAATATTTAATTTTCTCTTCAAAAAAATTCTTCTTTCAAGGTATTTTTAAAGTATTTTAAATTATCATTATGCTGCATTGAATTTGTTAAACAAACCATTTTTATGATATTGGATTCCAAATAAAACTTCATAAACATCCTTACAAAAATACATAGCGAGTTCCAGTAAATGTTCTACCAAGCCTCTTTCTTTACTCCTCACTACATATTAACAGTAGTGAAGAAGAAACTTCAGGAGTACTGTGCAATAATATATTCGAGAAGTGTTGTAAATCAGATGTGGATACTTAAATATACCAAGGAAGCAAGAAATCGCAATATTTTACCAAAATCAACACATAAAACGAACGACTTTTCAACTTTATATCCAACCTTCCCAGCGATAAATTCAAGTCCAAGTTTTTTGACATCATTGACAGCTGCATTTTCAAAAAAAAAAATGGAACTCGTAAATTTTCTTACCTTGTCATTGGTCATTTGCAAAATTAGTTTGTTAAAACCATTCTGATTGTACACTTAAGTACTCTGAAGTTGATATTAAAAGGGTGTTTTAGTTTCTGATTCACGATATCGAAGTTGTTTAGGAGACCACTGCAGGTCTTTCAACAATATATTGAAATTTCCATTGGTACCAATTGAGCCCGTTATTAGCAGACCTATTTTTGTATTTATATAAGCAGAATTTGTCCAAAAATATTTCATGTGAAAAGAATAAAACACTTGCTGTGGTTCTCAACTCGACATTAGATATGTTGACGTATTGTAAATTAACAATGGGTATTTTTCCATTCTAATGTCAATACGCTATATCCTTGTGAACTTGCAGTAATAGATACCACAAAGTCTGACACATCTGTTTCATGTTTAGATATTTTACTTGAAAAAGACGTTGATTGTAAGCTAAATTTCATTAAAAAACGTGATGACTTTAAAATTTCAATCGTCAGCTTCCCTTACCTATTGAGCAACTTACCAGTTGATTACATACACAAGAACATGCACTAAATACTTATGGATTTATTCAAAACGAGGTAAATTATTGACAAACAAATTGATGAAATCGTTTAAAGTCATCATTTCGTAAGTTCTATTTGTTAAGACATTATTTAAACACTGAGTTATCGACTGATTTTTCTGTTATTTCTTGTTCATTACAAGGAGCACATAGAGAGTGTGAGCGGTCGCAAGGGATGCTCAATCCTCCATGGCACCTGATATCACCTCTGATTTCTTTGAGGATTGTGTCTCCTCCAATCTTGTATTGTTTAATGGACTTTTGAGCTTGAATACTATTCCTTATCTACATATATTTCGAATAAGATTTCCGTCTTACAAGAGAGGGGAAGACGTCAGAATTAATCAAAAAAGAAAGAAACATCTTGATTTTTCTTAAGAGTAAAAAAAGGGGTGGAAAGAAATGTATTATCTTCTTATTAAAAATAAAAAAGGGTGAAATAACTTGTAAATTATAAAAGTTATAAAATGGAGAAAAGAAAGAGAACCATTTTGTGAAACATCAAGGGAAAAATATTTGAGCTACCCTTTAAAATAGCTCAAAAATCTAAATTTCAATGGTTACAATTTCAAATTTTACACAGAATAATTCCTACTAAAATCATCTTTATAAATCAAAATCAATTGATTCACCATTATGTTTTTTTTTTCTGTGATACTGATATTGAAACTATTGACCATCTTTTTGTTGCATATTTCTGTGTTAAAGAACTAAATTGGTTGGAGATTGAAGAATGGATTCTGATTAACTAAACTTGCTAGTTTGCTTTGATAAGAAATCAATTTTATCAGGTAAATTTATAAATAAGGATCTATACAAGTTTGATAATCTTCTAATAATGATTATCAAATAGTATATTCTTTCAAGTTAGTTCAAAAATCCAATGAAATTCAACATTAAGGACTTAAAACATGTAATCATTGACAGAATTAGAATTGAAGAGTTTTTACTGTTAAAAAACTAAAAATTTGATGAATTTAAAAGAAAACTGGCAGTTAATAGTTGAAATATTTTAAGAACTAAAGTCTTTTTAAGTAACAGTATTCTGAATTTTAAGTGCCCTTTCTTTCTCAACCCCCCCCCCCCCCTTCTCTCTATTTCTCCATCTTTCCTTAAATTCTTTTACAATTTTCTTCCTTGCCTTGCATGCAACAGCGATCTTTAATTGTTTGTATTTGTAATTTGTGTGATTGAAGAATTAAACAAGAGGCCAAGGGGCCACATGGCTCACCTGAGTACTGTGCCTAAGAAAAAAGCAAAAATCAGTTTAGTATTAAAAAGCTCAAATACATGAGTGGTCCCATTGATCCCCCATTGTGGCCCCATCTTACCCCCAGGGGTCATGATTTGAACAAACGTAAATTAACACTACCAAAGGATGCTTACTCGTGCGTTTCATATTCCATGGCCCAGTGGTTCTTTAGAAGGTTTTTAAAGATTTTCCCTATATATTCCTATGTTAAACTTTTAAACCTTAGCATGGTTCCACCCTTACCCTGAGGATCATGATTCCCTTTGGAGAGCTGCGAGTCTTGATTTGAACAAACTTGAATCTACACTACCAGATGATGCTTTCACATGAGTTTCATCTTTCTTAGCCCAGTGGTTCTTGAGAAAAAGAATTTTATAGATTTTTCCTATGTATTCCTATGTTAAACTTTGACCCCCCATAATGGCCCACCCTACCCCTGGGATCATGATTTGAACAAACTTGAATCTTGATTTTTCCTATATATTCCTATATACAACTTTGGTTAGCCATTGTGGCCCCGCCCTACCCCCAGGGGTTATGATTTGAACAAACTTGAATCTACACTACCAGAAGATGCTTCCACATGAGTTTCATCTTTCCTGGCCCAGTGGTTCTTGAGAAGAAATATTTTTAAGATTTTTCCTATATATTCAACGTAAAACTTTGATCAGCCATTGTGGCCCAACCCTACCCCCGGGGGTCATGATTTGAACAAACTTGAATCTACACTACCTGAGGATGCTTTCACATAAGTTTCATCTTTCGTGGCCCAGTGGTTCTGGAGAAGAAGATTTAAAAGATTTTTCCTATATAGTCCTATGTACACCTTTGATCAGTAATTGTGACCCCGCCCTACCCAGAGGGTCATGATTATACCCCCCGCTTCAAAAGCTGGATGGTATATAGTAATCAGTATGTCCGTTCGTACATCCGTCTGTCTGTACGTCCATACGTCCGTCTGTTACGCTTTGGGTACCCATCTCTTTTCCGCAACTCCTCTTATACCACTGAGTGAAATTTAATAAAACTTTCACAGAATCTTTATTACATAATGACATTGTGCACCTCCTATTTTACTTTTTGATCCGACACCTATTTCCCACAGCAAAATATAGACACTGTCATTATATTCATATGGGAGGCGGGTGTATCAATACCTCTAGTTTGAACAAACTTCAATCAACACTACCTGTGGAAGCTTCCACATGACTTTCATCTTTCCTGGTCCAATGGATCTGGAGAAGATTTTTAAAAGATACCACCAAATTTTCATTAATTCCCAATTTTCAACCCCTTGAATGAGGGCTTGGCCCTTCATTAGAACAAACTTGAATCCCCATCACCCAAGGATGTTTGTGGCAAGTTTGGTTGAAATCAGCCCAGCGGTTTTTGAGAAGAAGATGAAAATGTGAAAAGTTTACGACGACGACGACAACGACAGACAACGGACAAATTTTGATCCGAAAAGCTTACATGAGCCTTCGGCTCAGGTAAGCTAAAAAGGAACAATACTAATATGCGACTTCAAAGACCAAGATGAGAATGATCTTTGACGTTTTTTGTCTTCAAT